AAAAAAAAAAAAAGGAATTATTGGGTGGCACCTGTAGCTCAGTGAATAGGGTACTGGCCCCATATACCAAGGGTGGTGGGTTTGAATCTAGCTCCAGCCAGACTGCAACAAAAAATAGCCAGGCATTGTGGCGGGCACCTGTAGTCCCAGCTACTTGGGAGGCTGAAACAGGAGAATCACTTAAGCCCTGGAGTTTGAGGTTGCTGTGAGCTGTGACGCCACAGCACTCTACTGAGGGCAACATACTGAAATTCTGTCTCAAAAAAAAATTATTTGGCTGCTAAATAATAAGTTATTTGGCTGCTAAAATAATTATTCGAACCCACCAGCCTTGGTGTATGTGGCTGTAGCCATAACCACTGCTACTGCTATTCGCCCACAGTAGTGGTTATGGTTACAGCCACATACACCAAGGCTGGTGGGTTCAAAACCAGCCTGGGCCAGCTAAAACAACAATGATAACTGCAATAAAAAATAGCCAGATGTTGTGTCAGGTGCCTGTAGTCCCAGCAACTTGAGAGGCTGAGGTAAGATAATTGCTTGAGTCCAAGAGTTTGAGGTTGCTATGAGCTGTGATGACACCACACTTTACTTAGACAGAAAAAGTGAGCTCTGCCTCAAAATAAAAAAAATAAAAATGAATTATTTAGCAAGTGCAGTAACTGAATCTAGGATATAGGATGCACTGATTGCAAGGAGCTTCTATAGGCATGCGAAGGCAAAATCAAATAGCTTTCTTTCTTTTTTTTTTTTTTTTTTGAGACAGAGTCTCAAGCTGTCACCCTGGGTAGAGTACTATGGCATCACAGCTCACAGCAACCTCCAACTCCTGGGCTCAAGCCAGTCTCCTGCCTCAGCCTCCCAAGTAGCTGGGACCACAGGCGCCCACTGCAATGCCCGGCTATTTTTTGGTTGCAGCCGTCATTGTTGTTTGGCAGGCCCGGGCTGGATTTGAACCTGCCACCTTAGGGTGCATGTGGCTAGCGCCTTAGCCACTTGAACCACAGGCTCCAAGCCTCTTTCTCTTTTTAAGACTGGGTCTCTCTCCATCACCAAGGGATGGAGCACAGTGGCAGGATCATAGCTGATCAAAAGCCTAGACTTTGACTTTTGGCAGGATCAAAAGCCTAGACTCAGGCTCCTCCCAGCTCCACCTACCAAGTTAGCTTGGACTACATACAGTAATGTGCCACCACACCTGGTTAATTGTTTTCAAAGACAGGATCTCCACAGATTATAAGGCTGGTCTCCTCTTGGCCTCAACAAATCCTCCCACCTCTGCCTCCCAAAATGCTGGGATTATAGACTTGATCCACTGCACCAGGCCAGAAATAGTTTTTGTCACAAAGACAGGACAAAAATTCTGAGACCTATTTAAGAATGGTTTAATCCAAAATAACTGACAGAGAATATCTGACCTTCAGGATGTGGAGTGATAGATCTCACAGCCCTCTTTAAATTCAAAGTCTATTCACCGTCAAATTGTTCTGGAATGGGTGTTGTACTGCATAGGAGAAATCTAAGTTGGGGGATTTCACTGTATAGTTTCACCTGCATCACTTATTATCAAAACCGATTGTCCTAATTCCCTTAGAAACTTTCTACCACCATTTTTTTTTAAATAAACACATTCTTAAGAATTTGGGACATAGCTCAAAATATCAAGCAACCCAAGTAATTATTACCCAAAATCACATCTGTATAAATTATTCCAAATAGTGTGTCATTTCCCCACTTAAACACCCCCAATTACAGTTTTAATGGGTTAAATTTTTATAGTTAGCCTATAGAAAACAACAACTGAAAGGTGGCAAAAAAAATCAAAACTGAGTTCTGCCATGACTTGGAAATCTACCAAGACCTCAGCGGGCCCTGTCATCTGGGCACTACGTGTTGTCAGCTAAACCGTGAGGCAAGAAGCATTTTAAAAACAACAAACTCTCGCCTCTCCAGCGGGAAGCGGTGAGTTCCAGAAAACCAGACTGCAGACGCATGCTTTGGAAGCGAATTCGGGAGAGGTCAGGCTTGAAGGAAGAGCCAGGCTCCGGGCCCACCCGCTCCGGCGGCAGCTCGCCGTGACTTTGCGGGCCCGTCTTCTTTGGTAACCTTCGCCGAACCTTGGGCCGGGCCCAGCCCCACCTGCCCCCAGCGCCATAGGCCGGCGCGCCCGTCACTCAGCCGGCCGACTGTGCCCCGCCCGCCCGCAAGCCCTCCTCCCCCGCCCCGCGGTTTTCCCTTCCCCGGGCCCCAAAAGGACAATGCTGGAGGGGAGGGAGACCGAGCGGACGCGAGCGGGCGGCCCAGCTAGCCGGCCCGGCCCCGCTGCCCAGGACGTTGGGTGCCTCCCGCTGGCCGAGCCTCCTGCCCTTCAAGGCTTCGCGCTCCAGCCTCACGTCCAAGCACCCCGCCTCGCCGCCCCGCAAAAGAGCCACTCCAGACGCAGCGACACCAGCCCCGGCGGGAGGCAACCGATGGTCCGCGCATTGTGCGGACTCATCGTCCGCCACCCGCCGCCCCAGAGGAAGGCAGCAAGCCGGAGTCCCGGGCCCGCAGCCCGGCTGCGCGCACGCCTGAACCGCGAGGCCCGGCCCGGGGCCCGCCCAGGGTCCTCGCAGAGCCCCACGGCCTGGGGGCGGCGGCCCGGCCTCCCTCAAGCCGGCCTTACAGCCCCTAGGCGGCCACCAGCTGGCTTGCCGAGCCCGCGCCCACCGGGTTCCCTGGCCCCCTCCCCTGCGCCCGCCTGCGGTACCTGCCGAAGCTGCCGGGCGGCGCGGCGGCCGGCGGGGGCGCCTCTCCTCTCGCTGCGAGGGGCTGCGGGCGGCTGCCGAGCGCCAGGCGGCCCTGGCCTGCGCCTTACGTAAAGCAGCGGCGGTCCCAGCGCCACTCGGCAGAGGGCGGGAGGCGGCGCGCCGGGAGCCGCTCCGCTCTGTTACCCGGCAACTGGCCTCAGCGCCCCGCCAACCAGGGGCGCGCTCCATATCCTTCCGCCCAGGCGCCGGGATTACATCAGCGCCGGCCGAGCCCGCCCCTGCCCCGCCTCTCTGGCTGGGGCGCGGGCGCGGCGGGCTATAAGCGGGCTGAGTGCACCGAGGGACTGGCTCTGGCTTGGACTGGAGGTCTAACGTACTCCGCCCTCGGCCAGGCGTGGGTGGTGGAAGCCACCGGGAGGGGAGAGGGCTGCAAGTGGGAGCCTACCTTGTGTGCGGGCTTCAGAGAGGAGACGCCCCCTGCTGAGGGCCGCGTGGGGCTGTCCTGGGAAAAAGCCCCCAAGTGCCACCGCCAACTCCGCCGGCGGCCCCCCTGGAAAGTGGGTCTCTGCATCCAAGTCCCCGCTTGCGGCCTGGTGCGGGCCCCCTTCTTGTTTGGCACATGCTCCACCTGTCCGCGCCCCCTTCTCCCCATGGCCTGGGATGGCTGGAGTGGGCGGTTTAAAATAAAGACTTTAATTTTTTTTTTTTTTTTAAGAAAGAAACCGTAAGACAAGCTAAAGAAATGTGTCATTACTTTTTTTTTTTTTAAGTAGGCAAAAATAATGAAATTCTGGAAGATTAAAAATTGGGAACCAAAAATATGCACTAACCTTTTAATCACAATCTCTTCGTACCCACCCACCTTCCTAGATGTGACTCCTAGGCCTGTTCTAAAAAAGTAAATAAGTATCACAGACACCAGAAAGGAAGGAGTCAGGAAGATTACCCACTTAAAGGAAATAGGTCCAGAGAGGGAATGACTTACCTGAGGTCATTTGTTCATCGGTTTATTTATTGCGCATCCTAGCTACCAGGCACTGTGCTTTTCTGTGCAGAACCTGCAGGCAAAGTTCCTGCACTAGCTCACAGGCTACGGGAGAAACAGACACTAGGTAGCCAGGACATGACATGCTGGAGGTGCTGTAGGGGTTGACCAAGAAGTACTATCATTTATAGACTGTCTGCAAAGTGTTTCTCTGGAATCATTTTATTTGTTCTTCACAAGAATCCTGAGACAAAGCAATATTATCCCCATTTCACTGGTGAGGAAACTGAGGCTTGGAGAATGTAAGTGATTTCACCCAAGTTTGGATGTTTGTGGACAAGGTCTTCTGACTCCCCTAACTTCTGACTCCCTAACACTGCCTCTTGCTGGAAACAGGATCGGAGCTCAGCCTCCTAGCTCTGACCTCTGGGATCTTCTTTAAACAGCTCTCTCCCTTCATCAGCTGGCTCCTAATTTTATTTGCTAAATATTCATCCCAGGTGAATGAATCTCATCATAAATCACAGTGCAGTTGTTCAATCAGGATCTTCTGAGCACCTGTTCTAGGCCTGGCTTCGTGCCAGACAAGGGCCATCCTTGTGTTCCTGGAAAGCAAATTCTGAAAAGGAGGAAGAGGATGTGAAGGGAATGGGAAATTCAAAGCAATCTGGAGTAAAGTAGGGAAGGTAATGGAGCTTCAGAGTCCATTCCCCAGCCCAGTTTTGAGTAGCCCACCTTCCAGGTCACGATGTGCTCCCTCACCCCATTTTGTTCATTTATCCACAGTTTTTTGTTTGTTTGTTTGAGAGAGAAACTCACTTTGTCTAAGCTGGGTAAAGTGTTATGGCATCACAGCTCACAGCAACCTCAAACTCCTGAGTTCAAGAGATCCTCTTGCTTCAGCCCCCCAAGAAGCTGGGACCACAGGTGCCCACCACAACGCCCCTCTAGCTTTTTCTAATTTTAGTAGAGACAGTGTCTTGCTCTTGCTCAGAGTGGTCTTGAACTCCTAAGGTCAGGCATCCACTGGCCTTATACTCCCAGAGGGCTAGGATTGTAGGTGGGAGACATAGTGCCCGGCCCATTCACAGCTTTTATCAGTGCTTGAAATTATTTTATTTATGTGTTTGTTTCCTCATTAATAACAGCCTCCCTCATGGAGACCTTCCTTAAAAAGATCCTGTGTGGAGACCAGCTGAATTAAACTCAGGAGAATAGGAGCTTTCTTTCATGTGTGAGCTGAAATCCTGAGGGCCTAGCAGGCGTCCTCAAACTGGCCCTTGGGCCACATGTGGCCCACCTAGGGTGTTTTTGCTGCTGCTGCCTGTTCTTGCTTAGTAGCTGACTCATCCCAGGGCCCGCAGTCGGCCCTCCAGCAGTCTGAGGGACAGACTTGGCCTCCTGTTTAAAAAGTTTGAGGACCCCTGGCTTAGGGAATGCAAAGGTGGCCAGGGGACCCCACCATTAAATCAAAGTTGGTGTAGAAGCAGTAAACACCCCCTTTGGCATTTTCCTTTCTTTTTTTTATATTTCCATTTCCATTTATAGCACTTTAAAAATCTTTCAGAATATTAGGGGATACGCATATTTTGTTTACATATTTTTTTTTGTACAGACTGAGACAAAGTTGTATGTGTGTTCTTCACCCAGATAGTGTGTCCTGAACCCAATAGGTGTGAATTTACCTATTCCCCTCCCCCTTCCCCTTGGCCTCCTTTGGCATTTTCTACAAGGATACCATCGTGGTCTCTTGTGTATGTCTGAGATTATTCATGTCATTTCTCCAGTCTCCAGAACACCTGACATGGCTCTTCAACCCCCTACACACATGCAAGGCTGTGAGCCGGGAAGATGACAACCCCTAGTACCCTCTCACTTCGATGTTCTGGATGCCAGTGAGGATTCTGGTGAATGCCAGCTGGGGCAGTGATTTTGTAACATCCAGACTGTTTCATTAAAATTCATCCTGAGTCAACTCTTAAATGAATGATGCCCAGATAATACCATATGAACAGCAGGGACGAGGCTGGGCCTGGATGCTCTGTGGTGTCATATGGCACACACCGACTGACAGAAAGCAGGGCCAGGTCTCTTTGAATCTTTCCCTCTCTGGGCCTCAGTTTCCCTATCTGCACAGCAAAGGACTAGATCAGGAAGATTTCAAATTCCTCTGTGGGTGTGTGTATGTGTATGAAATGTGAAAACAATTTCAATGAAGCAGCACTTGGATCAAAGAATATGTATAGTGGCTAGGTTCAGTGGCTTATGCCTGTAATCCCAGCACTCTGGGTAGCCCAGGCCGAGGCTGGGTGGATTGCTTGAGCTCAGTTTCAGGACAAGCCTGAGGCAGAACAAGACCACTTCTCTAAAAATAGCCAGGCATTTGGCTAAGTAGCTGAGGTCACAGCTATTTGGGAGGCTGAGGCAAGAGAATATCTTGAGCCCAAGACTTTGAGGTTGCTGTGAGCTATGAAGCCATGGCACTCTACCAAGGGTGACAAAATGAGTCTCTGTCTCCCCCCCCAAAAGAATATGTATGAACCCTTACCTGTCACTTGACACTAACAGCTCCTGTTTACTGACTCCAAGTTACATGACAGGTACTTTATTCGCTTTGTGATTAACTCCCACAAAGCTAGTAGGGGAGAGATTATCTCCATTTTGCACTTAGGGACAGCACTGAGGCTCTGGAGAGGTTAGATGACACACTGCTACTAAGTGGCAGCACTAGGATCTCATTCCTGCCCTGTTGTTGCTACTGTGTCAACACTGTTTCATTAAAATTCATCCTGAGTCGGGCAGAGCCCATGGCTCAGTGGATAGGATGCCAAACCCATATACTGAGGGTGACAGGTTCAAACCTGGCCCTGGCCAAACTGCAACAAAAAAGTAGCCGGGCATGGGTTTGGCACCTATGGCTCAAGTGGCTAAGGTTCCAGCACATACACCTGAGCTGGTGAGTTCGAATTCAGCCTGGGCCCGCCAAAACAACAATGACGGTTGGAACCAAAAAATAGCCGGGTGTTGTGGTGGGAACCTATAGTCCCAGCTACTTGGGAGGTGGAGAATCGCTTGAGGCCAGGAGTTGGAGGTTGCTGTGAGCTGTGATGTTACTGCACGCTATGCAAGGTGACAGCTTGAGGCTCTGTCTCAAA